GAGCTTCCATCTGGTCCTGAGCTCGTCCACCTTGAACTTGTGTCGCAGGTTCATGTCCAATGACAGCGCCATGGCCGTGAGCGCCATGGATCGACGCGTGTCATACCAAGTATGATACTTCTGGCTGTTGAGTCCTGCTACAGAGTTGTAGCGCTCCTCACCATGCGTGATCGCGTTCAGCTTGTAAGTGGGGAACCGCAATGTTACCTCACCCTTCCACTTTTCAAAGTCCTTCTTATTATCGAACAGCTTGGGCAGGGGCATCTCCTTGTCTAGCAGCTTCTCAGGGTGGGGACCGAGCTCCACCATAACTGGCGCCGAACTGGTTGTCCAGCATGCTGGTCCCGTGTGATGATGCTTGACTGCGCGTGTAGTCTCGGGGTCCACCTCTACCTTGTTCACTGGGTTCACTCGGCTCACTTGGTTCGCTGGGCACCGGCGGATCTTAGGGTCACGGGGAGAGGCTTCTTCTTCGCGGAGACGTCTGTCCAATTCTCAGTCTCTTGAGCTCTGGTTTTTCACTTGGTTTACCAACCGACGGTGAGAATCTTCCACCGATAGGGTGAGGAGTTCGACTCCGTGTGGCATTGTAGCCAATCGGCGTCCAAACTCTTCTGCTAGCAAGATCAACTCGTTTGAGTGACCTGCAGGCGGCTGAATGGCTTGAACGGGGGCTTCGTCTTCATGCTGCAAGACTTCTGGCGAATCATCATCTTCTTTCGACTCGTTCTGCTCTCTTATTGGGCTCAAAACCAGTGAAGACGCGTCATGCGTCATCGGTGAGGTAGAACGAGCTCCTTGGCTGCGTGTAGCAGTCATAGTAGATAGCTGCAGTACAGTAGGATATGTGTACCCCTAATAAGACACTTAGTATAAACACGTGAGTGCCGAGGCAGAACGCCACGACAGGCGAGGTGATGATCCGGTGCAGTGAACGCTCTCCACTTGAGCCGCAGGCCTCAAGTTCCAAAGTAAGTGTGTGACAGAGACTTCATGCCAGACACCACCCGCCGCAGTCAGTATATTAGGTAGCACGTAGGTTAATATACCGTTAATCAATCTAAGTCTAATGTGAGCAAGCTGCGCTTGCTCACAGCCATCAGTTCACCACTGCATACTGTAGTCAAGTCTACAGCAGTGTGTGTGATAGTCCGTACGCGATGTTTGGTTCTGCAATGCCGCGTGTGGCACCACGCTCAGGAACAGTACCGTGATGTGCAGGTTTGTCTTGATCTGGATGTGTCTTATACTGAACACTGGCAGTACTGCATCTCACGGCACTGGAACAGCTGTATCTCCTCAGCTCACGATAAGCTGTACTTCAGCTCACACGAGCTTCTCGACCTTCCGGACTGGAATCCACACGACCAGTCTTGCAGGGTTAAAACTGCCTTTCATTTCCCTAGCACAATTGTTCTCTCGCTACAGGTAGAACACTTCTGGCTGGTGTTCTGAAAAACTGCATCCGGGGAACACGAACGAGCAAAACATATGTAGGAGCGCCGTAACGCTTAGCCAATCAAATTGCTTAAATTATTTGGCACCGAACGCGTTCTCCACTTGAACGAGGGCTTTAAGGACTACATCGAGCAAGTCTTCAATATCAAGCACGACGACTTGTGGATTCACTTTGAGTGCCTGCTCGCTTATGTTGCTGTTCTTCATATATTTTCGCTACTTGCGCTTAGATAGGTCAACCACCAAAAACGCTAGAAATCGACCCTCTCTTTATATCTATTATTATTAATACCTTTTACTAAGACCGCAGCTATGCAACACTTTTTGCTTAAAACTACCGGCTCTCCATAAACGAGTTGGAGAGCTTTCCAGCCCGAAAAAGTACTTTTATCTTCCAGTCGACAGGTTCGAGCAGTGGAACATGCTTATTACAATAGTGTTTTAAGCTGCATCAATTCCTACCAGGATGGTTGCGGCAGCGTCAACTGCTAACAAACAGTTGTTGCGTCGCGCTCAAACGTCATGCATGTATAATTGTGGACAGTATTACAAACTTAAAGCAGCACACGTAAAAGTATTTTAGTACATGTAATGCGTAATACTCATCGGCTACAGTACCCTAAGCAAGCAAAGCCGTCTACGTCAAAAACCATTTTGCTGGAGTACGAGGGCTCTAAAGAATCCGACAACTGCATGACCCCTGAGCAGTACAAACCCGGACCAATGTCATTTGAACTCTTCACGTACAATGGTTGGTACGACTAAGTGATGAGTATCCCAATTATAAGAGTGCAAACTATGGTAGTACCCACAGCGTACATGATCCAGAAAGAAGATTCTAGCAGACTACCAGTCAGTGGAAAATTCAACGTACTTAGCGCAGGACTGGTGAAGTTAGCGACCAAAGCTGTGACGTCGTACAAAAAGGAGCTGGAACGGGAGGCAAAGGAATTGGCAAACACTACTAAGATGGAGACGAAGACCTCGCTAGACAAGCGCATCGATCTGTCTTGAGAGTGGCCTAGCTGTCAAATTTTACCCGAGCCTTGATGAGAACGCGACGGTGTATTCGGATTCGATTATGGATACCATGGCACGTTTTCATGAGAAGCGCAAATTTTTAAAGAACGTAGATGCTTGCTTGAAATGGATTGTGGCTCAGGCACGAAGGAGATCAGTGGCTGTAGACCGTGTCGATGATATAACCTCGGCTCTGTAAGAGGCATCTGTGTATGCTTCGAAAAAGATCCGCGACGAAGAGGTATGTACTTGTTTTCGGTATGTGAATCTGTGATGGTATGTAACAGCATGTGCTTTTAAAGACATGGTTCGTCGCTGCTGCAGGTGTGTTTCGTATACGAGCTTCTGGCGTTTCGCAGCAAGACGTGGTTTAATGACATGTGCATTCGACTTGCTATACAAGTGGTGACTCAAGATCGAAGTGATATCGTGTACGTGGATGGCGCCATGTTTGAACACATCCAGCCTCAGGAGATTCATCTGAACGAGAGGCTATGTGATGTATTTGATCGGCAATCGGGTATGATACTTATTCCAATTGCCATTGAAAACAAGCACTGGTGTCTTTTGATTGTTGATTTCAACAAGAAATACATCATTCAACTCGATCCCATGCAGCATCGACCAACCTACTCATTTTTATCCAAGACATGCAAGTCGTATCTTGCACCGCTTCTAAGGGGAAAGTATGCAGACTGCACAATCAAGAAAGCCGACAATATCCGCCAAGAAGACGGGCATAACTGTGGAGTCATCGTCATTTACTACATGGAAAGCTACATCAGCACCCGCATCGTGGCGAATCCAAATCAAGTTTTGCTTCAGAGTATTCGACTAGCATACTTTGTCCAAGGTCTCCGTCGACTCTATCCCGACAAAGACCTTCGCTTTTTTGGCTAGTATCATCGATTACAGATGACGGACAAGTTGGAAGTCGGAGTTGACAACACTAGCCAATCTATCAACATCTCTCTCAGTTGAAAGTTCCTTACTTAACAGTCATTTGTACATGTACCTCTTTAAATTAAAGGTGGGGATTAAAGTTTTATCCCCACTCTTAGTGGCCCTCACACCAAGTTGGACGGAGTGCCCAAAGTGCCGCGACGGTTAGCTTCGGATGTGTTCGTATACTGAACATATCTAAACTACCGGGACGTAGGAACAGAAGTTTGGGAAAGTGATGTCGGACTTCACAGGTGAGCTCTCGACATTGCATACTCAAACCAACTTTTTGTGAAATCCGACCAATTTTCTAATTATTATAGGCCAGTATTTATTGCTATAATACCGGTAGTAATAATCATCACCATGAGCAACATCGAGGACACGATGATTGTGCAGTTTTTTTATATTGCTGTTTCGTCTCCGAGTTGGAAGAAGCAATATTAATACCTGTACATGTATTAAATGAAATACGGGGTGATATCCACAGCGTGGTAGCCGAGCGAAGACGATTTAGACCAATACGCACGGAGTGTAAGGGTCGTTCCTTACGATCGGGTACCTAGTTTTGTAGGCTAGTAATTTGGCGTCTAGACGACCGCAGCTGTTGTCGGTCTGGTGGGTTGTCACAAAATTTGTGGACTGGGCTAAGAATCCGTCCTGCTCTAGCCTTCGCCGGCGCCCATTTCAAGGTCCCTGAAGGGTTCCGAGCGCACCTTGAGGGAAGGAGAGCTGCCGACAGGCACCGCCTGCTAGCAGAGCACCGTGCATTTCTGAGTGGAGAGAGGCAAAACGATGCCGACTTCGGAGACGAGACGAGGGACACGATCGCTGAGAGGCCGGTGCGCGTACCCGCGTCAGTAATTCATCACCCTTCTACGGGAAAGACCGCCGCATACATCGAGGCCGCAAAGCAGCGCATGGCGGACCGCCAGGCTGAAAATGTCCTTTCTGGTTATATACGCATTACCATGGATAGATATTTTAATATGAAAAAATTCTCGCGTGTTCGAGATCGGTGATCAAACATATTGAGTCAGCATTAACTCCTGTTTCATTTTATATATTTGTACTTAAGTTGCATTCTCCGGTGTACATAATGCGTTAGACCGGAGGTTCGCGCTGCATAACTCAGGTTAAGACGAAAGTTGCGCAGTAATAAGAAGTATAAATGTATTTAGACAGTAGGCTAACGACGTGTCTGAATGTGATTACCATCTATAATGTACGTCGCTTTGTGTGGTCGCATGACTGCCGGCTTGTTCGTCTACTCGTGGATGAAATGGGCGTGTGTTCAATGCTGGAATTATGAGAGATAGGTGATGCTTGGAAGTGTGTTGTTCATCAGGAAAGTTGACATCGTATAAAGGGATAGTGGCCAATGACGACACGTTAAGTGCACGTCCCTCACTGGCACATATTGCCTTTATATCTTCAATTGCGGTGCTGGTGACGTCGTAATCATCATTGCATTCTGCGCTCACGTTTAGGCTGAGCTCATGAGTTGTTGCTCAAAAATTCCAAGCTGTGCTTACTGAAAACAAAGCAGGTGACCGTGGCTGAGGCCCTTGTACGGTCAATACATGTAGTCTCGGGAGCGAGTTGTAGCCGGTATTTAGTGTTGGTCCTATCGGTGGCCCAAACACGCTTTCTTCTGGTGTTGATGACTCAGTACAAGGTTGTTCTTCACCTCTTGCGACTTGCTGCTGGATACGCTGAAGCATGTGATCACTACTTTGAACTTGTTGTGACATTTGCATAGTTCTATCTACGTTCTAACAATGTGAAACTAGCACATAAGAATTTTAGATCCTGGTACTTGTGCAGAACACGCATTTAACTGCGCGCTGCGAGCGTCCGTCATTGTAAATTTGGGCGCGAAGCGTACCATAAAGGTCTCCCATTTAACGCGTTTTAGAAATGTAAAGCACCATTCTATGTCAGATCCAGTTCGTTGAGAGGTGCTAAAGTATACCAGAGGAAAAATCTTGCCACCTTAATCGGACACACCAAATACGAAAACTGGAAAATGTTGTTTAACGATGCTATGTGTGCTGTCGATGTGAAATAGTGTTGTGTAGCGTGGATCCTGCTGGATTGTGATATAATTTTCCAGTAAATTTGAGCAGGTTGATCCCATGCGGAAGGAAGAAAGAATGGAGCCGCTGCCGAGGTTCGGGGCTAGTTTGCCGGCTTCATATTTACTATCACACAGCACTTTGAAATTATCATCGTCGTGTGATACGCGGTTCGCATCATCATACATACGCCTTTCACAAAGCTCAATGACGGGTTTGATCGTTTCTCGTTTGAGTTACGTACGCCATTTTTTCACATAAGTCTGTACCTGAGTCATCTTAGGCGCAGGCCCATCACACCGATGTCAATCTTTTTCACTG